CCCACTGAAAAATGTTCTGTTCAGCCATGTGTGTGGAAGGAAGCAGGTTGCCTTCTCTCTGAGATGGCCCTGAGAGTAGGGACCCCTAAGGATGCAGAGACTCTGTCCAGAACACCAAGTAGAGATCTTAAGTAATCCAATCTCAGATAAAGAAATTGAACTACCTATAAAGAAATTACCAAAGGTACAGGGGACTCCAGTCCAGATAATTCTGCCGTTTAACTCTATCAAATTAAAAAAATATATTACTTAATAAAACTTATCAAAAATTGAGAAAGAAATCAGTCTACCAAATTCCTTTTATGAGACAAATATAGTCAGTACCTAAACTAGGGAAGGATAAAGCAAAGGAAGAGAACTACAGACCGATATTATCAACAAATATAAATTCCAAATTTTAAAATAAAATCTTAGCAAACCAGTATAGCAATCTATCAAAGATATCATTCAGTATGATCATAATAGATTTATACCAAGCATATTATTAAATATTAGGAAAAAATTAGCATAATGGTATTATAATATATCTAGAAGGACTGATGAAAAAGTTGCTGCTGAGCCAGAGCTGAAAGTGCATTGAGAGGGGGCTATTTGTGAACTCTGAGTTGTCCACTGAATCATGTTCAGGGAGGTGCCTTTTCTCCTACCCAGCTGAATGTCATGACCACAAGGCCACCTCTTTCTTTTGTGTTTGTTCTTTTTTGAACTTAGGTAAATAAGTATTCTGAGATGGATGTGTCCAGTGAGCACTATTTTATGAGTTCAGGAGAGTTGGGTCCCAACAATGATAGGAGTCAATTGAAGAGCTGCTAAGATAAGTGGGAGTTGGGGAAGTAGCCTAGGAGAGGGTGCTACAATATGAAAAATAAAAACATTGAAAACTACATGATTACACCAACAGATACTGAATAAGTTTTAAAGAATATCCATTTATACTAAAAACACTATAAAGCATAGTCATAGAAGAATCCTTTTGTAATATACTAGAAAATATCTACAAGAACTAAAAGCTGGTGTTATGTGCATTGAGGAAATACTAGAAGCTTTATCAGTAAATATAGGGGTAAGCAAGGATGCCAAATTTCCCTGTTGTTATTTCAGAAACTTTTAGAATTGTTAAGAGTAATAAGACAAGGGCAGCTAGGTGGCACAGTGCATAGAGCACTAGCCCTGAAGTCAGGAGGACCTGAGTTCAAATCCAGCCTTAGACCAAACACTTGGCACTTACTAGCTGTGTGACTTTGGGCAAGTCACTTAACCCCAATTGCCTTAGGGAAAAAAAAGTAATAAGACAAAAGGAAAATATTAAAAGCATAAAGATAAGGAAAGAGAAGACAAGTTATTTCTATTTGATGATCACATGATAGTTACTTAGAAAATCCTAGGGAATCAGCAAAGAAGCTCATTGAGACAATAGCTTCTTTAGAGTTTCAGACTACAAAATAAATCCAAAAAAAATCAAAAGCATTGATTTACAGTAATAACAAAATTCAGGAGGTAATAATAGAAAGTAAAATCCTATTCAAGATAATTAGAAGATACATAAAATATCTGGGAATCAATCTACTAAACCATACTCAAGACCAATATAGATACAAGTATAAATAAAGAAATAAAGAACAACTTAAATAGCTGGAAGGATATTCAGTGCTCATGGGTAGACTATGTCAACATAATAATAACGACAATATTACTAATGTTAATTTTTAGATTTAGTGGATACCAATCAACCTAATAAATGGATACTTTACAACATAAGAGAAATAATATCAAAATGTATTTTGAAGAATAAAAGTCTGGATTCTTTCTCTATCAGTAGGATCAATCTGTAAGCTTGCCTTTCTGCAATAAATCTCCGTGGCTACTGAAATATTGAAAAAAAGGTGGGAATGAAGAGGAAATGGCATTTCCATATATCAAACTATATTCTAAAGCCAAAATCATCAAAATTATTTTGTAGTAATTAAAAAATAGAAAAGTAGATCAATGAAATGGACTAGATAAGGAAGAACCAGAAATAAGTGAATTTATTTCACCCAGATGTAAACAAAGCTGAAAACATAAATTATGTAGGAAAGAATTTTTGATAAAAACTGTTGGAAAAATCTGGCAGCAATTTGGCAGAAATTAGGTTTAGACCAACATCCTCTACCATATTCCACAATAAATTCAAAATGGATGTGACCATCAATATTAAAGATCATACAGTAAAACATTAGAAAAGAAATAAATTTATATACCTTTCACAGCTGGGGTTCAATTCTTAATCAAACAACAGATAGAAGCAATTAAGATAAAAGATATAATTTTGATTAAATGAAATTGAAAAGCTTTTACATGAATAAGACTTATCCAATTAGGGCAAGAAAGTAGCTAAAAGTACTTGTGATCTCATTAGCTCCCCTCAATCTAGTTAACATTTTTTATGCTGATGACTTTCAAATCTATCTATTCTGCTCCAAACTCTCTGTTGATCTCTCATCTTGTCTACCTAACTGTTCTTCAGACATCTCCAACTGGATATTCAATAGACATCCTAAACTCAAAATGTCCAAAATATAATTCATTATCTTTCCCTCTAAACTGTCTCCACCTCCTACCTTCCCTATATCTGTAGAGGGCAACACCTTCCTTCTAGTCCCTCAGGCTCACAAGTTAGGTGTCATCTTCAACTCTCAGTATCTCTCATCACCCATATCTAATCTGTTGCCAATGTCTATTGATTTTACCTTTGCAACATCTCTTGAATACCCTCCCCCTACCCCACTTCTCTCCCCTGATATGGGCACCCCTTATCACTCATGCCTGGACTATCGCAGTAGACTGCTCGTGAATCTACCTGACCTTCCCCACTCCACCCTCTATTCAGCCACCAATGTGATCTTAAAGCCCAAGATGACTGGACAGAAAATGAGTGAAGGGGAATAATATGAACTAAGATTTGGTAGGTATAGGAGTGCTAGACTGTGGAGGGTTTAAAATTTCAGGCTGAGAATTTTATATTTTCTTCTAGAGGAAATAGAAGGCATTAAGGATTTTTGAGTCATCACCCTTAATAGATTTTAAACTCCTAGAGGGCAGGACACTATCTGACTTATGCCTGTAATGTTTGCTCAATACATGCACTTTAAGATGGCTCTATATGGATTACAAAGCTTTATCTTTATAAAGGTCCCCTAAAAGTCTATAAAATTGCTCAAACTCAATTCAGTTGTCACCTCCTCCTTGTTAAACCTTCTTTAGCATTTGAACTCTAAAGTTAAACTCTCCTCTACTTAAATATTCCTAGAGCATTTGGTTTAGATCTCCTCTTTTCCTCTGTCACACTATACTTTGTATTATAATTACCAGTGAACATCTCATATCCCTCTTTCCCAGGAAAATAAAAACCCCTTGAGGGCAGAGGATATATTAATTTATATCTTGGTATCCATTGCACCAAGCATGATGTTTTGCATATACTGGAACCTAATAAATATTTATTGACCTGAATCAAAAAACCTAAACATTCTATTCATGGTAATTAATTTAACTGTGAGGATTTCCATCAACTTTTAATGAAAAAATATTGTTGTCTAGGCAGTTTGCAGCTAGTAAAAGCTTGAAGTACTTAAAGAAAGTCCCTAACAGATATTTTAAAACAAGAAATGTGTTTATAATAGTATACAAACTTCTTTTTCCACTGTAGCCATAATGCTTCTAGGCAGACTTTTAAAAGCCTAAAGTGGACTTAGTGTAGCATTTCATATTCCAAATAGAAGGAAAACATATTTACCAGGTAAAAGTAATGCATAATTCTGGTATGAAAAGTTATCAGGCTAGCTGTTCTTACCACACACACACACACACACACACACACACACACACACACACACACACACATATATATAATTTGTCAGGTTGATTTCCTTTGTGACTTTTGAGATCAGGAAACAAAGAATAGAAATTGGGTCACAGGAGAAGGGGGAGATACAATTTTGAATTATGGGATACTGTCTGGAAATACACACACACACACACACACACACACACACACATACTTCTAAGGATAAAGTTTATATAGATGTAGAGACAAAGGACATTTCTTCAACATTTCAGAGGACAAGAAGATAGTCTAAAAGCCATATAGGGATTGTGAGGCTGTGTCAACTTTGTGTCATATACAAGTTAGTTGTATCAATTACAATAATCCATTTTTTAAGTTAAAAGTATTTTACAAATAGCTGAGGAATGACAATTTATTTGGAAAAGTTCTTCTCCAATAGATACACTATTTTATTAATATTTTCTATCCCATTTAGACAAGTGAAGTCTTTTACAGTTATATGGATAATAAAACTTTATATTAAAGGCCATAATTCTTTGGAATTTATGAGAGACATGAAAAACACAAATAATCCTAGAATCCATCTGGCCCTAGGCAAAGCTTAAGGTTGGCAATTTGTCTTTGGCACTCCTAAAATTCACCTTCTGTATCTTTTCAACCTTTTAAGGACACAATGTTTCAGACCTTTCATGCAGTCTTCAATATCTTTAGGAAGGTTCCCAGAGCCCTCATACTGACTCCTATGGCATTTCAATCAGTCTTTTTCTTACCAGGTTATATCCCATCATTCAAAATTATACCTCCCTCTTCCTCCATGACTCATCTTCTATTCTTTGTTTCCTGATCTCAAAAGTCACAGAGGAAATCAATCTGATAAATTTAATTCACACAAAGGTATAAATGAAAACATTTTTCTGTGCTACCCTTTCCAGAGGTATTTTCATTTTTTAAAAGGGTGTAATTAGGAAAAGTAATGCCTTACACCCAAAGGAATGAATGAATCTTGAATGGAAGAATTGCCAGCATCCTGAAAGGTAAGTGGCAAAATTTGCAGGCATTCCAAAGGGAGTGTTTTCACAGCATCACTTAAATTTCGCTACCTACTCTACCTATAAGGTCATCTGTGAAGAAAAATATCTGAAATAAGCAAGCAAAAGAAAAGGAGAGCCCAAACCTTCACAAATGTGATGAACTCTTCTTCTCGGTCATTGGCTCGCATTAGTTTTACTTGCACCATTTCAAAAGCACGTTCACTTTGCAAAGCTAATCCATGGAGCTGTGTGAAGCAGTTGTTTCAAGCTCTGTCATAGCAGATTTTGTCTCACTCATTTTACTTAACAGGTGAGCGAGCTTGTGCTCCTATAAAAAATAACATTAAATATTCACTATGATTTCTAGTAATTATAGTACGACAAATTTTATTAAATACATTAGTGGAATTTATGTAGGACAAAGTAAACAAAGCTGTATTTGTGATTTACTTGCTTTCCCCTGTTTTAAGATAAATCTGGTTTGTTAATTTTTTCCTCATTCTAAATTATATTGTTTCCCTTACTCACATATTGTTATGCGTTTGTTGCCAAGTAGAAGAAAAGTTATTTCAAACCAAAAAGTCTCAAGTCAATTAAAATTATACAATATGTTTACAATTTCAGGGCAATTAATGGATTCTATATACCAGTATCATGATTTTTCCTCAAAATTAATTAAAGATTTTTGTATTAGGACAAATATAATGTTTGCCTTTTCTTATACAGCATTCCCTTTAGAGGAAAACAAAATAAACCAAAACAAAGCTTATTTGCTAGGACATAAAGGAATACAAAAAAAAACCTGAGATAATGGTAAATATTTGCTTCAGATTATAAAAAGATGAAAAGCTAAAAAAGAAGGACACTGCATCACAACAGCTCCCAAACAGGAATATCCTACAATCATACACACCTTTCTTTCCAGCTCATCTTTAGTTTTTATATACATCTGTTCAAAATGTGACTTCTCTTTTGTGACTACATTAAGCATTTGCTTGAGAGCAACAATTGCTGTCTTCTTGTTGGTACAGTCTTCAGTCAATGCTTTTACCTGAAGTAAAACACAAGGGGTTGTGGTGGGATTATGTGGCAAAACAATTTGTATCAGAACCAAACTAAAGCATGAGTGATTTAAATTTTCTTTATTCAAAAGTGATATCCAAATTCAAATACTAGTAGAACTTGTTAATATTTATATGGTGAAATAATAGAAGTGATTCTAAAATGAATATCCCACATGATTATACAGGAAAGCATAAATATGGTACCAAAAGATACATGGACTGTTCGGTTTTTTCCCCCATGAATGGATCAATATAAATACCAAATCTCAAAATTCAACATACTTCATTTACTAATATTTGTTTTAAAAATAAGAATTTTCTAGTATATAAACAAACATAATTATTGGAAATTCTTAGTTTTCACATATAGCAAGTATAATTTAGGATGAAATCAGGTGTGAAATAGTTGCCATAGCTCATTCAGTACTGAAGGAAGATTACAGTGAATGAACTATTTAAGATGAAAAATGTGACTAAGAAATTTAATGATGAATACTAAAAACAACCATAGGAAGTATCTTTTTTTATTGCAAATGAATTTGCCCTGCTTTTTTAGATTTTATTCCTTCTTCCTTTTGAACTAAAAATAACATAATGATATCTTAGCTCTGGCAAGGAGGATGAAAGAGGAACTCCTTCTGGGGCTGATGACACTTAAGGATTGCCATAGTGCAGGCTAGCTTATCAATTGTTCAGCCAGCTCTCTTTTCTAAGGGAATCATAGTTTCTCTTAGTTGACAGAATACTTATTTCAGTTTTGGGGGTCAGATGTTATACATGTCTAGAAGGAAGCCTTCCCTATTCTCACTCTCACCAAGTCTATCCACACATTAAATTAATGGGCAGAGCAGAAGATATGCTGGCTAATTGACTTGCAACTTCTATGATTTGTTACTAATATTCATAGTCTTATATTGTAGCATTAAATGTAACAAAATACTGAATAAAAAGTATGGATCATAATTTTATTAAAGCTAAGTTCAATTATATATTCACAGACTATTTTTAGGTTGGACAGAAAGAAACTGGCTGTCTTTTGTTAATCTGCATAACAAAATCAACTTAGGGATAACTGACAACTTTTTTTGTTCTTTTTTAAATTTAATGATGAGACACCTGGCATATTCCTATTAATCTACATATTAAAGTTCTAAATCTGGACATCTATCAGTTTGGAAAGCAAATAATGGTGTGTTACATAGTAAGTTCTAACCTGATATGAGTGTTTATATAAATCCACTAGGATTACTGAAATAATTGGTACAATGTGAATGGTAAAGTTAAATCATTTCTGTTTATAAAAATTATTTTTAAAATTTTGAGGCCAAAAAATAAATGGTACCTTTTTCTCAAGATTTTCTAACAAATCATTAAAGTTGTCATTATTTTCCAAGTTAACTTTCTGTCGATGCTTAAAGTGCTCTATCAAATGTCTCTTCATGACTAAATCCCTCTCCAGTCGAGACACTCTTAAAAGGAAGGAAAACATCACGCTTATAGTAAAAGGAAATATTTTTAAAGAGAGCATATTTTTCATAACACAGAAATTCTGCTCAAATGTTATTGATCAAGTTGGCTATACCAAATTACATGTTTGTTATATGTATATTATTAACCATTAAATTGTTATATTCTATTGACATGCTTTTGAATTATATATATACACATTATGTCTATTTTGAAACTAATAGTTATAGCATGATAGTTATAATTAATATGTCTGTGTCAGTAAAATGTCACAACTTTTAAATGCTATAGAAATTGGAAAAATACTTTACACTGCCATTTAATATTTAGATTAGATTTAGATTTAGGTTATATTATCATAATATTACTAAAATATGGCAGTATTGAGAATTAATCAAAAGAAGTTATAATACTAGGATATATATTTTAGTTATAAAATAAATTCTATACCACATTTTATAAATACCACATAAAAAACATAGTTGTATTAAAATAATTTCTTTCCAGATGATTTATAACTGTCTTAACATATAAGTGGTTCTGTTTCTTAGAAAGTTAAGTTTTTAAAAGCTATTAAGATAATTTTATAAATTATTCTAATAATTAGCCCAAAATAATTAAATGGTTAAACTTTTTTAAACTATTAATCTATTCTTTATCTGATGGGTTTTATCTATTAATGCCAGCTGTCCAAGATATAGGATTGTAACATGAGCAAATTTTTTTCTATTTATAAGTAACAGGCTAGACTTAATTAGGCCTATCAAAAAAAAGTCATTAAATTTAATCTTAAAATACCTTATAGTGAAAAACATTATATAAAGTAATCATTTTTGATGGCTGGAAAAAAACCCTAGTTTTTATAGGTTAGCACAGAAAACAGTTTTTAAAACCTTCAAGCCATTCAAATATAAAGAAAACAATTCATTTTGTCATCCTAGCAACCATAAATCTGGGTATTTTTTACCAGTTTAAATATTTTAAAAATTGACAAATTTAATAGCCCCTAAATAAAGAATTACAGTGTTTGCAATATTCCTTTGAATATTATTGAGGAAGTTATTTAGAAATAATTCAAGAAAAAAAAATCAGTTCACCTTAGCGTCTAAAAACTTTTAAGATTCTCACTGTAATTTAGAAATTGTAGCTAGTTAGTTTTTAATCACTAGAAAAGGAACCTGAGCTCAGATTATAAATAAGTGATATTCCTTCTATAATCTCAACATTTATCTTAGGGAAGAAAAAGTAGATTTCATTAACAATAATCCACAGCACCATTTTCTAGACTTGAAATGGTTGACAGTTCTATCAACTAAACTACCACTGGGTGGCACCAAATACAATGAATAGATATACCAAGAACATACTTTCCTTGAAATTCCAGTATCTGCTCTTCCTTTTCCTTTACTTCACATTTTAGACACTTTATATTTGAAGACTGTTTAGTCATTTCATTTGTTGTATTCTAGGTTAAAAATACAAACAAAATCAAAAACAATGTTTACTCCTCAACAGTTGGTGATATTTCAAGTAAATGATACCAATGACTTCAGAAATTACAAAGCAGCACTTATAGAGCAGAAATGACCATTCTAGGAGTAGTACAGAAAAGTAATTAATGTGCATCAGATACAGATTTAATTAAAATAAATGTGCTATATTATATTAACATAATATATTTCAAATTATGCTTTTGAAATTAAATAAATTAAAATAATGCAACTAAAATATTTAAAATTATGTCACAGAAAGGATAGCCATTAACATAAGGGTAAAGTGCTCTCAAATCATTCAAATATGAAGAGATAGAGAAAAATGCATTTCTATGTGATGTGTATAACTCAAAACAATAGGCTCGGTAGCAAGCCGGTATAATACACGTACTTGAACTTGACACTGCAGCTAATAACTTTATGAGTCTACTCTCTTCTTTATCTGAAACATTATCACTTAGCAATAAAGATTAATAAGACTGAGAAGTAACAAAAAGTGAAATAATCACACATACATGATTATATTTTAAAGCAGTACAGATTTCAAACTTTCATATACTTGTGTAGCATATAAGAGGACTGAGAAATGGATGAGGAGTTAGAACATATGATATAACTCTGGCTCAAATACTGATTAAATGTAATGATCTTCATTAACTTCTCAGCTTCTGTGTATTTCAATTTTTCTATCTACAAAATAGGATGAATATTTCAGTTTCTCATCTAATTCACTTGTCATATAGCTATTTAAGTAAAAAAAAAGTTCTGGTATATTAAGCAGAATCAAAGATATAAAATCAATCAATCAATCAACATATATTTACTTTTTTGCCAAGCATTGTGCTAAGTGTTGGGGATATAAGTACAAAGAATAAAACAAATCCTACTGTAATGGACTCATATTCTAATATGTTTATTTATGTTTTAATAAAGTTCTATGAATAATGAGTAGAGGCATTTTACTAAATGTTCTTCATTGATACCTATATATGAATAATACATTTTATATTTAATTTTGAAAAGGAAACTATAATGAAAATACTAATCATTTTTTATTCCAAGACACAATGTAACTTTAAATTTCTAAGAAGAGTTATAACATTATATTGTTTGAAGGCTGGACAATTTTATCTAAGGTTAAAAAAATAAAAACTAGGAAAGCCACAGTAAAAAGCTAAGAGAAAATTAATTTGCAAGGCAATTTCTAATAGAAATTTCTTTTTTTAAAAGATTAAGGTGGCAGTATATATTAATACATCTTTTGAAAGTCATAGCTTTTCATAAGAAATGTGAGAACTGTCAACTTGTTAATTTTCTTGATGGTTTTGAGCTGGTCAGATGACCATGTGTAAAATAATTACTATAAGTTTATTTTACTTGTGCACATGGAGACAGCCTAAATTAAAAGACATTTTAACATGATTGCAGTAATGCCTCATTAATTCGGCATTGTTAGGGAATTGAATGTCCTTTTAAAAATGAATTTTTCAGTGAATGAACAGAAAGTTTTATAATAATCCTTAAATTAAGTTTGTACCTATAAAGCATTCCGCATTTTTCTGTCCTCTTAAACTAATAAAAAAGAAGTTATTTTTGATGTTTTATAGTTATCAATGATGAAGAGAACATAAATTTGTTGAATTACAGAGTGATTTGTGGTTTCATATACAAATCTCTTTTCTCTATATTTTTTATATAAATATTTGTTGATGTTTGTTTTGTTCAAAAGAAAAAAGGAAATTAAATGTTTCATTATATGTGTGCCTATATGGTAATAAGTAAGTTTTAAAGCAAAAAGAGTGACTCTTGAGAACACAGAAGGTCAAATAATCACAACAAAAAAGGGAGTTTTCCTAATAGGCCAAACCTTACAAAAATAAATACAATAAGTATAGGTTCACAGAAATAGAGATGCTGGAGATATTGTAAGTCATATAGTTCAATACTTCTAAGGAGTAGGAAACTGAGGCCCAAAGAAGTTCAGTGAGCTGATCAAAGTCACTTAAGTAATAGAGTGGCATTGCTCAGGTTCTCTGCTCCAAATGTTAGCACTCTTCCCACATCTGTTTTAAGTGATGCATAAGAATAATAGGTTCATTACAAAAAATTAAAAATTCATTGAAAGTTTTGTATCTGGCTAAATGTATTTATATATTCTGGCAAACTATATCTATGATATGATGGAAATGAAGGGATAAAAAAAAGTATTTTCTGTACTTCAAAACAGCTTATTGAACCAAGGACATCCAAAAGACAAAAAACCAGCACAGAATAATAGCTAGAACTATGAAACTGAATATTACTTAAGAAATAAAATAAAACATTTTAAAATGTTCAAATAATCCAAATATCTCCACTTCATTCTTACAAAAAAAACTATCTTACAATTCAATTTCAATATTTACTTGTTTTAGCATTTTTATATCTACGCAGAAATCCTCTTCAATGACTCAACACAGCATGGAGGATGGGGGTGAAATGAATTATCACCAAACGAATGGCCATTAGGTCCAGAATTTTTAAGGCCATAGCAACATATTAAGCCTCTTAGACATAGGAGTGCATCTATACCAATGAAATAATGTTCTAGGAATCTTTCAAATAATAAAGCTGCACTGTGAAAATCTGGCTCACACCTTTTTTCATTCTTTTCCCTCACTCCATGTTGGAGATGACAGTAGATATGACACTTCTAATTGAGGCAAAGCATCACTCACAGCAGGGGAGAAGGAAAGGAATTGTACTTCCTCTTTACTTTTTCTGTCCTCTTAGCTCACACCTTCACCAAAGGACACAATTATAAATATGAATGTAAAAACAAGATTTGCTCTACATCCTCTGCTTTTCTCTCTATTCTTGAGATTTCTCCATCTCTGTCTCTGCCTCTACCTCTGTCTCTCTCTGTCACTGTCTCTCTCTGTCTCTTTCTGCCTCTGTCACTTTCTTTGTAATATGTGTGTGTGTATGTATGCGCACGGTGTGTCTGTGTGTGTGTGTGTGTCTCTCTCTAAATTCATCAACTTCCATTGATTCAACTATCATTTCTATAAAGGTGGTCCCCAAATCTGTATATTCAAAGTTGTGTCTTCTGAGTTCCAGAACTACATCTCCAGCTACCTGCAGGATTTTTCCACCTGGATTTCCCACAGAAAATCTCAAACTCGACTTGTCCAAAACAAAATTCATTATCTTTCCCCTAAACTTACCCTGCCTTCTAATTTGCCTATTTTTATCAAATTTACTAGCAACCTTCTAGTCACCTAGATCCATAACCTAAATTAGCCTCACCTCTTTACTCTCCCTTGCCCTACAAATCCAATCTAAGTTTTATGTAATGAACATGTCTATAATGTTATATAATGAAGTCAACAAGCACTTATAAGTAGTTGCTATACACCAGGCTAATAGCTGGGGATACAAAGTAAGGGAAAAAACACTCTGCCCTCTCAAGAAACTCACATTCTAATTGAGACTCCATTTAACAGGTACAGCACAAAAGATTAACCTTGACTCACAACAGCCTGAGCCAACCAAATCATCTCCAGTTTCTGAAATTACAAATGTCTTTAATCTCTTCAACAAAGTACCAATGGACACATCCATATCCATCATAGGAAAATACAAAATCCTTAACAAAGGCCCATCTCCCTAGAAACTCATAAAGTTAATCACACTATTTTATAACAATAGTGTTCAACCAACTTCTCCTCTCAAATTCTGCAGAAGAGTTTATATTCCGAACCTTTGTTGGCCTTGGCTGCCATATCTCTACCTGGCAAAATGATCAAGTGTTTACTTATTAAGGAAGTTTAAGGTTATTTACATTTTTCTACTGTTAACTGCATTTTTGTTTGTGATGTTAGTGTCACCAGGTCCAGCACATTCCAACTCTCTTCTTTCATTATGTACAGGCATGAGGTTTCTGTGTGATCTATGATCTCTAAGAGTTTCTTTATCATCATCTTTCCCTATGCCTACTGTGGCACTGAAGTAATTGTGAATTAATTAATCTTTTTAACCATTTTGGAGTTATTAAATTCTTCATAGAATTTCTCCATATCATCATCCTCTGCAATGGATGGCAGCACAAATACTACAATGAATTTCATGGTGAACATTTTGCTTATGTTATCATAAGCATTGCAATGAAGGACGTCCTACCAAATATCCCATTAGTGTTTCTGGTTGTATTTGGACACAAAACGAAACTAATTTGACCAATTCTTTTATTTGCTTCTCCAAGAAGAACCTATAAGCCATTCTTCCATTTAGGTGTAATGTATTTTGTATACTGATGTATTTTGGCTTTATTTATGGCAAGAATTTCAGTAGTGATATGATTCAGTTGATCCAGTAGTATACTGACTCACCAATATTGTCTAAGGACTTAATATCAACAGCTAAATTAATATTTGTAGAAAGTCTAAAAAAATAGGTGATTCTTAACATCCTCTGCTCCTTTTTCTGCCTCTGTGCTACTGCTCCTTTAGAACCATATGGTCCAGAGGTCTATTTCATTTATTTATTTATTTTGTTTCACTGGTTGCCATAGTCAAAGAATTTATTAACCAGTACCCAACCTATTGGTGATAATATTAGCTATTGCTATAAAGCCCTCCCACCTTCTTCTGGAAGGCAGAATCTTTCAGAGGTTGCAGTCTTATGGCATAGCCTTTAGAAACTCAGTACCACTTCCCTACCACAATGAGGCAACCAGAGTAAGAACCATACTTTAAATTATTTTGCAATAATCACCACGGAATCTTGTCTAGGAAAGTGGCCTTGGAGACAAGGGTTTTGTTTTGGTTTTTGGCCTCAGGACAATCGGAACTTGTACCATGTTGGACTGGCTGTATAACCCCAAACTAGTCACCTAAGCTCTCAAGTTGCTCCTGCTATGACCAGAAGGTACAGAACCACTGGTGATATGCATTGGTAAAAGTTTCCTTAGCAGAAGTTTTCTATACCAGTGAAATACAGGTATACACACACACACATACACACATACACATACACACACACACACACATCTATATATTTATATATATGTATGTGTATGTATTTGTGTATGTATGTATATGTGTGTATATGTATATATAATATAATACAAATATTTTAAATTTATTTTTAGTTTTCAACATTCATTTCCATATTTTTTTTCTTTTTAGGCAATTGGGGTTAAATGACTTGCCCAGGGTCACCCACTAGTAAGTGTCAAGTGTCTGGTCTGAGGCTGGCTTTGAACTCAGGTCCTCCTGACTCCAGAGCCGGTACTCTATCCACTGTGGCACCTAGGTGTCCCCCCAATTCCATATTTTTTAAAAAAATCTTTACTTGTATAGGTAAATGACACAGTAAGTAAAATTTAGCATGACATTATTTTTAATTAAAAATTTTACTGAGTAGATTAGAAGGAACTAGATGAAATCTTTTTTATTCTGTTGTAATATAGAGCTATGGTAGTTTTCCTATTTATAAAAAAGACTAATAATAAATTTAATACTTTCCATAGAAGATAGTAAGGATTAATTTAGCAAAGTATGAAAATTTTTCTGTAACCTTAAATTGCCATAAATACTCAAGTTTGAGAAGAAAAATGGAATTTAGCAAAATCTAGATTAAAACTTATACTCCATCTCCCAAGTCCATGCATTTTTCACTGGCAGTTTCTCCCCCTGCCTAGAATTCCCTCATTCCTCATACCTGACTTCCTTCAGGTCCCAGACAAATCCCACCTCTAAAAAGCCTTTCCTGATGCCCCTTATCTTCTAAAATTATCTCCAATATATTATGTCTATATTTTAGTTATGCATAGTTGTTTTCACTTTGTCTTCCCAATTAGACTGTGAGATCCTTGAGAGCAAAGATTTTTTTTAATCCTTTCACTGTATCCTCAGAGCTTAAAACAGTGTTTGACACTTAATAGACATGGTCAGAGTATCTCAGTAATTTGATCTAAGGTTATTTAAACCTTATTTTACATCTCACAGTAATGTTAAGATACCTTATTTCTTAAAATTGTTAACATTTAAATGGCTCAAAAAGTTTTTAAATATCTGAATATACTTACAAAATCTGAAATATTGAAAAAAATTCACGCATAAGAACACAATCTTCTCTTTTGAAATGTCTTTCTTACCTTAAATATAACAGAATTAAAGTTCTTCATTAAATGTACTTAGCTCTTACAGTGATTCTTTTTTTTTTTTCAGGCAATTGGGGTTAAGTGACTTGCCCAGGATCACATAGCTAGTAAGTGTCAAGTATTTGGTCTGAGGCCAGATTTGAACTCAAGTCCTCCCGACTTCAGGGCTGGTGCTTTATTCACTGTGCCACCTAGTTTCCCCCCCATAGTGATTCTCACATTAAAATATCATTGTGAGAGCATACTCAATGTGCTACACTCAAGATATTATCAGTCTTTTCAATACTTCATTTCCTTTGAACAGTTACATGTACTCCATTCCTAAACCCTATGTATTCCTAGCTGAAGCTTTCTTCTGGTCATTTCTACAGCCACCATCTTTGTACACGTCTGGCTAGCAACTCACTCTCAACAACAGAAATAACTTCTAAGTAAGACACAATTCAGAAACAAATGTCTTCATAAACAACAGTATTACTAAGTTCTTGCAAAGCATTACCCAATTTAAAAAAAAGAAGAAACCTATAGCCTTAATTTCTACTACAATATATTCTCAAATGTCTTTTTTTATACTACAAATCTGCTTTCAAATTGTTGAGATTTTTATCTACTCTGGTTAATTACTTGGCAAATATGGTCATCTCTCTTCATTTTTATTCTTATATACTTGAAGTCAAAAAATAGCCTCTTAAATAGAAAGAGTTTTTAAGCTAAAACACCTGGATTCCTTCCATTACACACACACACACACACACACACACACACACACACACACACACACACACACACACACACACACACCCATAATGGGGTATACACACATAAATACCAAAATACCCAAATACATTATATCTCTCCATACACATACATGTACACATAACACATATGAATGTGTATGTTAGGATGAGATGTAAGGAATTAGGATGTTTTGGTTTAGAAAACCCCTCCTTTGAAAAAGGCTTCTGTTGAACTAAGAAGAAACAATTCTTTGTAAGTCAATCCTTGCATTTTTTCCAAAAGTAATTCTTTTAATTATCAGTATCAGAGTAGAGCAGATTAGAATGGAATAATGAAACAGGATGAGGAAAATGGTAGATTTTCCATCTCCTGAGTCAGGGTTTCTGTGGTTTTGGTCAGTTTGTTCAAAACTGAGTATGGTCAGTGACTAAACACTACCCTTACATAGACATATATTTGTATGGTAGCCAGACACCCACATACTTGATTACCTTGACTTATATTCATTTTGTATGTACCATGTATATGAAAAGGGATAAGGACTGGAACTGTGATTTCACTGGTATAGGTTGGAACTCCCTGGTGAGGAAATGCCTATACCAGTGGAGGTTGGCACCTCTTTGTGGCTTATAGCTTTAGAGAACTGCCTAAAGCACTTAAAGGTTAAATAAGTCACCCAGGAGCATACAACCAGTATGTGTCAGAGATGGGACTTGAAAATTCAAGTCCCTCTGGCTTTGTGACTAGTTCTTTATCTACTACACCAAACTGCCTCCATGTGATGCATATTTTTATGTAAATACATGTTTTCTCTCCTTTTAGAATCTGAGCTCTTTCTGAATAGGGGCTGTTTAATTTTTGTTTTATTATCCCCAGCACTTAACACTGTGCCTGATATATAGTAAGCATTTAATTAATGACTGTGGATTGATTAACACATAATTAAAATCCATGTACAAGCACTCATTCCAAATTTCAACAGAGAATTTAAAAAATTTTTGTATTATGCATATCTTGCCTTTCTACCATTAGCATGATTATCTGGAGCTGAGTTGACTAGAAAAATACCTTTAAGAAGCTGCTTATTAAATAATTATTACTAAATTTCTAAAGTCTGAATTCTTAATCATTTGTAGACTTACCTTTAATTTACACTGCAGCTGTTTAATTTCTGCCTGCATATTCTTTGAAGGAGACTCTACTGTAGATTTAGCTTCATTTGCAGCCTCCAATTTCTTTTGTAAATCTTCTTTCTCTTTGCGAAGTTCAACCAAGTCTGAATTTAGCTTCTATTTTTCCCAGAAAAGAAAAAAAAATGTGTAACCATATTTTAAAAGCAATCCTATTGACTGTTATAAGAAGATGTTAGAAATAAATAGACCAAACATTATCATTATTCATGTTTGACATCTAATTGAAATTCATGATGAATAATGTAATTTTAAAATTAAAAGTAAAATCAAAAATTTAATTTTATTTTCTATGAATGAAATATGCTAGTGATAATAATTTAAAAGTTTCAAAACACTACCTTTTGTAAGAGAGATTTGTATACACATACAAATACAGACACTAAGTGGTCTTAGATAAAATATATGAAAATGGCAGGAAATATGTTGTTTTTATGTTTTGCATAGTACCTAAAATACTGGGCCTTCTCAATAAATATTAATTAAAAAACAGTGGTACAATCAAACTATAAATATAGATAACAATTATAATTCAAGCACTACAATCTCTATTGGCTTTTACTTTAAGTTTGTAGGGCTCGTAAAGGTTAAAATAAAATGCACCAGCTCCATTAAATATCTTCTGGTTAGCTGGGCTTTACTTGTATTGTGCTACTTCTTCTCTTCCACATAAATGCATGCTAGCCAGAGACCCACATTTTTGATAACCTTGACTCTAGGGCTGATGTACTTAACTGGTAAAAGCCAAGCTGGAGCAGGACAGGATAACAGATGTTATTTGTTTATTCCACTGGGTAGTTCTTACCACCCTATACAGCAGCCAAAATGCTTCTCATTTAGCAACATAAATGTTAAGTCCAATTAGCAGACAAGCCTTGTTAGGGATTTAGTTCAAGTAAATAGCATGGAAACAAACTATCTTGGTTTTTATTGTATTTGACTGACAGCTGCCATGCCCTTTCGCAAAGTATGAGGTAGAAAATCCATATATTTTAATGTCATAAACATTTAATTAGAAACTGCTAAATAATATACTTAAATGTTTTTATGTAAGAAAGTTAACAGAAATAGTCTTTATGCTAGTTGTTATCTTTCACTAGTCTGTAGTCAGCAGATTGCCACCAAGGTTTAATGGCATAACAACTTAGGACTCCTTGAGAACATAACTACATTACTATTTTATTATTCCAAAGAAGCTTATAATATGGTAGTTTAACATAAGGAACAATTAGACAAAATGGTACTGAAATCTCTCAAAGGAAATAAATTTTCCTTTGTGAGGAATCCCAATTAGAAATGGAAAAAGATATTACATTTCCTATAAGATGGAACATTTAAAATATGCTAACATTTAAGCAAAACTAATAAAAGTACTTTGTATTGATAGCTACCTATATACTGATAATGTCCATATATTTATTACGAATTTGTTTATATTACAAATGCTCATGAAATAAAGTAACTATTTTAACTTAAAATGGATCCAGTGTAAATGTGAACTTCTTTGGTTACATTTATATTTACCAGTTTTAAAAGCATATTTTAAGAGTTAAGAATGGCTACAACATGTTTTCGATAATTTCTCAATTCTCTTTATCAAGATATTGCTATAAATGGTATTAATTTCTTTCTGAATTTTAAAACTTTCCATTAATTAATTAAATGAATGCCAAATTTTATTAACAATTTAATTTTATTTAAATTACTTCTTCTCTGCTTCTGCCTAAGTAGCATTCATTGGGGAAATTGCTCAACCCCTCAGTGAAAGCTCTGCTTCTAAGCTTACCTGCTGGAGATTTCAGCCCTGTCAGATTTATCTCAGGGCTGCAATTCCAGGTGGATACAAGCTGAAACAATACTATAGAGCCACAAATACTTTGATGACATGCTTTTTTCTCAAGAACTGCCTCTCGTTCCTTCTCTCTCAGGGTACACAAGCCAGAGGATTTCCTGTTCATTGATTCCTTGCTAGAAGACACCCTGGCATTGTAAAGGGGAAAAGTGTCCTTCACCAACACAATTTTTTTCTAGTGGGTCAGTCCAGAAAGACTGGAAAACTAAAACTATACTTTCATGATTTAAAAGAAAAAGAATTGCTATATGAGGAAAAAATTGAAAATGATGACAATGCATATAAACAGGTAATCAGAAGAGATGGTTTAAATGAAGCTGAAATAATTTCATCCACTTAATGATATCATAAAGCCAAATTCCTCAAACTAGTAATTTTTATGTTAGAACTGCCAAAAGAAAGGCTATATATAGAAAAGATAATTTTTAGAAGTACTAGTATGGAAGCATTTGGTTGTATTTCTATCTCACATAGGTTCCTAAAGTGGCAGATACCGCCTCCTGGAGGGTGCCAGAATAATCCAGGTGGGTGGTAGGAGTCTCGGGTGCAACTGGGGGGCGTTGAATAAAACTAAGGGGGTGATGGAAGCATAAGGAAAGAAGAGAAAAGAAGAAAATTTTGAAAAACCATTCATACATGTTTCATCTGCCGCATAACAGAGTAAAGTCATAGTGATTACATTATTTTCCAAATAAACACACAAAATGCAAGTTATAACCAATCAGTGGTCAAATCCACAAGCAAGTGTTGGCAGCAAGTAAGTTGCACATTGTCAGGAAGTTCAGCATGCAATGGCAGCAACATGCGCATGTAACGACTTGTTTACAATACGATACTATATGGTTACATGATGCAGTATTGTGTCATCAAAATTTTAATGCAGGAAAAAACCCACAAATTTACAATAAATTATTAAATTTAAGATGAGTCATTTTTTGAAATGACACAAATTTCAAAAAAAAGTGTTAAAGGGTTAAAGAAAATAGATTTCCAGGGGGATGCTGAGTAACTTTTTTAAAAGGGGTGGTAGGACAAATGAGTTTGGGAACCTCTGATCTAAAGGGACCACTTAAGTGTAAAGTGCCTATTTGTCAGTCACGGAGTAATCAATTACTACTTTTGGTTCTTCTACCTTTTGGGGCATTTTCAGTTGAGCAGAGACCAAAAAGTGGTTTCACTCACTCGTGACTCAAGGTTTGGATTGTTTATTGGTCCTTTTCAATTTCTTAAACTCTCTATAGAAATGCCACTGGTGGAATGGCAAAGATGTAATGTAAAGAATTTTCTTTTGCTTGTATGGCTGGTCTAAACTGAGATATCTTCTACAATATGCATTTACTATGCACCAAAATTTTGATTTAGAATTTGAAAATGATCTCTAATTTTTCTTAATAGATACTACCCTAAAGAATAATCAATACCGGAAAGTGATTTTTGTTCTTATAACAATTTTGCCATAAACTTTCCAAGAAGAGGGTAAAAGTTGATTATAGCCATATGGTATTTAGCAATAGTAGGAATTAAATATTCTATCCCCAATTCAATTCAACAAGTATTTATCAATCACCTACTACATGCAAGATGTTGTGGCTACAAAGACAAAATAAAAACCATTCCAATCTTCACGTAGCTTACATTTCAACTATTTTTGACGATTATAACTTTCTGTGGTTATTGAGACAGTTGTTTTTCAGTTACAGAACTCACTATAGAAATATCTTCATTCTCCATTTAATGGCTACATATTTTATTCACCTATACACGCACATGGGGAAGCTAAGTGGTGCAACAGATAGAGTGCAGGCCTAGAGTCAGGAAGACCCGAGTTAAAATCTGGCCTCAGACACTTACTAGCTATGTGAACCTGGGCAAGTCATTTAGCCCTCATTTTTCTTATGTGTAAAATGAGCTGGAGAAGGAAATGGCACACCAGTCCAGTATCTTTGCCAAGGAAACCTCCAAAAGGGGTCATGAAGATTCGGACATGACTGAAACAACTAAACAATGACAAAAAGACACAATCACAGGCACACACACAATGCCAGCACAATGTGTTTCTGTATGTGTATACACACACATACAGATATGTATAAATGTACTTATAATATGTATTATATGTGTAATGTATATACATATGCAGATACGTGTGTGTGTGTATGTGTGTGTATACACACATCCGAATAGAATAATAGCCCTGGAATACAAGGAATTTTAAGTATAATTTTAAAATCATAGGATCATGAAATCATAAAGCTAGTGGTACAAGGGACTTGAGCATCCAACCTATGAGGACCAGAAGAGTAAACTGACTTGCCAAGGGCTACACAAGTATTAAGTAGCATAGGCAGAATTTGAACCCACATCCTCTAACTGCAAATTTAGACCTTTTTTGCACTTGACCAGTATACTGCCTTGCCCAAACATTAAAAAACCTTAAGCAATGAAAGTTCTTTTTCAAAAACTGTTGTTTAATCATTCAGTCATATCTGACTCTTCATGAACCCATGGACCATAGCATGCCAGGCCATTTTATTCTTCACTGTCTCTCAAAATCAGTCCAAGTTCATGCTCTTTGCAAATACATGCTCTGCTAAAATCAATGTAAACAATATCTTTAGCATCCTTTCCTTCTTTAACTCTATGTTCATGATTCACATTCCACATAAAGACATCTGAGTCTAATCCACTGATCCCAATCCTACCTCAACAGACTTCTCATCCTGCAGCTCTCTTCAATGCCTGTGGCCTTCCCACTTTAAAACATTCTTGCACCTCTGCAGGTCCCTTCTCTCATTGTTGAGTTCCTCTTTGTTGTTGTTCAGTGGTGTCTGACTCTTTGCGACCCCATGGACCACAGCACACTAGGCTCTTCTTTGCTCCACTCTTTCCCTAAATCTGTCCAGGTTTTTCCCAGGTTTTTTTCCGTTGTTGTTGTTGTTGTTTCCATGATATTACCTAACCATCTCATCCTCTATTGTCCCCTTTTCTTTTGGCCTTCAATTTTTTCCAACATCAGAGTCTTTTCCAATGAGTTCCATCTTCTCATTATGTGGCCAAAGGATTTAAGCTTCAACTTCAGCATTTGGCCTTCCAATGAATAGCCTGAATTAATTCCCTCAAGTGTTGACTGATTTGATCGCCTTGTTGTCCAAGGAATTCTCAAAAGTCTTCTCCAGCACCACAATTCTAAAATGTTGATTCTGTGTCACCCAGCTTATGTGTAAAATGTCCAACTCTTATTACCACA